AGCAAGCAGCTCATAAGTAGCTAAATGATGTTTTCAATAATTTTTAGGCACATTTTAGAAGTGTAAAGAATTTATTGGCAGATGTAGTATTTTACAGTTTAAACAGAGCAAACGCCTTGGTAATTTTATTCCAATAGTTTAGGGTAGGTGTGGTGTTTAGAAAAGCGTCCAGGCTTCTTCACTCAATGAAGACGAGCTGCGTATGCACAGATCTCTATAAATATTATTGAAATGCGAATACCAGAAATTTCGGAGTAAGAGAGCATAAATGAACAACCAAATATTTTGTTTCCAATCCTTTTTGAATAACCTGCACTAAAGAAAAAATCCCACAAGACAATGTGTTGGAAAAGCAAATGATCACTTTGTTGTTTTATTTAGTGAATTACCCATATGCTTCTAAATCAAGGTGCATGCAAGATGCCTACACGTGGAGCAACACTCAGGTCAAGCTTTTACTGGAACATTGAAACTCTGCTCAGCACTGCATGAAGGACGTTTTTGCTTTAAATTCCTGTCACAGAAGCGAATGCGCCTTTAATCCCCTACAATTTTTGCAAGATTCCTATCGTTCATTCGCGATATAATATTTATCATGCTCGTCTTAGCTGACGATAAGTCTAAAAATTCAGTATAGGATGTGTACAGCATACAAAACAACTTTTCTTTTGAACTTCGCACTTTCACAGTTTAATCAAAGGCAGAGAGGACTCCCCTTGAAATTTGTAAAAGGGCAGTACAAGTATGAAGCTATGGAGACAAACGGTACTCATTTTTGCGGCAAAAATAATTGTTCGATATTATCTGCCATTTGTAGACCATTATCGTTTGCTCTCTGAATATGAATATGCGTCTGTCCTGCCGATTTATGAACCAAATCTCTTGACAAGCACGTGTCATTTGGTCATTCTGTGTGTATGGGATGACATATGATGCAAATGGAAAGAAAATAAAGCAGGTGAAAAATCATTCTTTCTATAAAAGGATTCTTTCAATAGAACGGATGATTTTTCGTCTCCTATATGCAATATTATAAATAAATTTTCTATACAAGTATTTATCAAATATCATAACAGTACAGCAAGAGTAAGGTAAACTAGGTAAATTAGGAGCGATATTTTCAATAAAAAGGCCAAAATAACCAGATCAGGAGCTAAATTTAAAATAAAAATATAAGCTAGCTACTCGTGGCTAAATCATACCTTTGTTAGCTAGACAAGCCAAAAAGTAGCTGTGTATAGCTACGAATACCTAATTGTGCACCACTGCAAGGGAGTAGAAAAGCTGACTTCACCGGCTTGGCACTGTGTATTTGAGTGGCCCCGCATGTGAACAATAGACTGAAGCAGACAATGGCGGTGCCCAGAAAACCTTCGTAGAGAAAGAGCATAGTGCCCTAGTCAGAACAATCCACAGTTATAGTTTAGCGGCTCAAGTGGAATAGTTTGCTTAGTGGGATTGCGGGATTGAAATGCGCATGCGCAGCTCACTGTGCTCCTCGTATCGTGTAACCTCTGTACGCTATTTTTCAGACTTAACGTTACCATGTTTGCGTGGTTTACGTAGTGTACTTAAAACATGGTGGCGGTTTTGCATGCCCGCTTCAAATTGAATTAAGTGTTGGCCGGGACGGACTCACTTCTATTGTAGAAAAAGACTCTGTAAAATGACTTCGCTTGTCTTTAGGTAGCTTTGACGAGCAGTTTTATGGACAACTTAGCCTAGTTTTTGAGGTCATTTCCCATTTTGAACGCTTCGAAGTCGAACTCGAAGATCGATGTAAACAAATTGGCTACATACAATTTTTGCGCTTAGTGCATGGTTCACAGTTATTTATAGTTTTAATATTACTAAAAAAAGCGATAACAATGCTTTGCGTGGTCATACTGCCAAACATTCAAGTTTTTTTTTTCACTGTATTTAAGTTCTTCACTTTTCGCTAGGTGGCGCCGCTGTCGCTGCTGGGTCACGTAAACCACGTAGCTCTATCTCGCTAAACTAAACGACGCTGTCTGCAATCAACGTTTGCGGCACGGTAATGCCGAAACCCCGCGATCAGGCTAGCGTTAAGTTTAATGTGCTAATATATGTGGTTTCACGTGAAAACTAAAACCACAATTTTACAATGGAGCACCACGTAGGGAAGGGCTCCGGAAAAATTGACCATTTGAGTTCTGTAACGGCTACACTGACCTCGCACAGAACTCAAGCCTCTAGCATTTCACCTCCATCAAAATCCGACCACAGTGGCTGGGATCGAAGCCGCAACCTTCGGGTAAGCAGCGGCTCACTGTAACTACTGTACTGCTGTGGTGAACTCCAGTCAGAGTAACAAAGATTTAACAGAAAAAAAAGAAACCGGAGGAAGAGAGGTTCACCAGATAGACATCTGGTCGGCTTTGTTGCTCAGCACACAGGAAAAAAGCACAATTATTGAACCACATTAGACCGTTCACCTACAAGGCTCAACACACAGGGTGTCTGTCTGCCAGAAGTAGTTAACGTGATTTTATATGAATGTGGCTCGACGGCTCAACTAATACCCGAGGCAAATGTGCGGTTACTTCCCCCGAGGTGACGAAAAACGTTGCTGATTCGTTCTGTCCTAACTTGCGAGGCTAGGCCACATTTATAGAGCTTGCGAGGATAGACTATATAAAGGGGCTTAGAATTGTGCAGCAGCCCTGCAGTTGAGGTAAAAAGTGCCTCAGCCTATATGATTGACACCATATAGCGTAGGGCTGCGAAAATTGATTGATTGATTGATTTGTGGGCTTTAACGTCCCAGAAACCACGGTATGATTACGAGAGACGCCGTAGTGAAGGGCTCCAGAAATTTCGACCACCTGGGGTTCTTTAACGTGCACCCAAATCTGAGCACATGGGCCTACAACCTTTCCGCCTCCATCGGAAATGCAGCCGCCGCAGCCGGGATTCGATGCCGCGACCTACGGGTCAGCAGCCGAGTACCTTAGCCACTAGACCGCCGCCACGGAGCAGGGCTCCGAAAATTATCGACTACTTTAGGGTACTTTAACGCACACCGACATCGCGCAGTATATGTGCATCCAGAATTTCGCCTTCTGGAGGCGGAAATGTTGTAGGCTCGTGTGCTCAGATTTGGGTGCACGTTAAAGAACCCCAGGTGGTCGAAATTTCCAGAGCCCTCCACTCTCTCATAATCATATAGTGGTTTTGGGACGTTAAACCCCACATATCAATCAATCAATCATCAATCAGAAT